GTTTAGACTGGTGGGAGTTCTAGGTGGCAATCAAGATAGAGTTCAATAATAATAGTTAAAATCACTGCTAGTTTTGCATGCAGTAATGAGGCGAAAATAATAGTTTGTGTTATTTGTTGTACCTTACACATCAATGATTTCTTTCAATAAAATTTAAAAATGAAGTTGCGGTCTGTATTCTATTTTGGCTCCTGTGTAATTACTGTATCTTGATCACAAAAGAAATAACTGTACCTCATACTTTCCTTTCCTCAAAATTGAGGAAATCTTAATTATATGGGCCATATCCCATGCTATGCAACAGACTTCTGTGCTCAGCTGCATTTCCTTTCCCTCTCTGGGCCCCTCCAGCTTCCGGAAGACACAGGCAAGAATACGACAGGGCAAAACAAACAATGCAGATCCTCCATTCTGCATAACACTCTTGCATCATATATGGCAGTGTTCAAATAGAATCCCATACACAAATCACATGAGCCCAGTCAGCATCTGGAAGTATTAACGTAACCGTAGCATATTAGTCTGTTTCTCCAAGTCTTTGCACTCAGATTCCAAAATAAAAGGGCCTCAGTCAACTGACTAACCAGCCAACCTTCCACTTCTCCCCAATTAAAAGCATTAGCTCCTATTGGATTCTATCTGGCTCCAAGAAATATGAATTCTGTTCATGGGATTGCCAGGAATCAGAGTCTGTCTTGCAAGCCTGCTGCCTCTCCATGTCCCACATCTTTGAGTAAAGTTGAAGATACATGCAATATCAAAGGACCACTTATTTATCACTCATGGAGGACTGGCAGTAACACATGGCTGGGCATACCATTCATTCCGCTGTGAGCAGCAGTGAGATACAAAAGAAAGCTGCTAACACAATGATTCGGGAATATGGGCTGGCCAGAAGTCACCCATTGTGTTTCATCTGCAGGCTGGTTGAGAGTTGCCTGCTCGGCCCATCTTACTACTACAATTGAAACCTGGAGCTGAACAGAAAACCCTTGTAAGATAGCATCAGGCATCCGCCACGGTCCGCGACATTCTGTACAGTATGCAGCTGATTTCTCAGCCCATTTGGGTTGTCCTAACAATCAGTACTTTATGCCTGAAAGGGCCCAAGACAACCAACGCCTTCACTCTCTGCTACCCTTCAGAGTGACCCAAGCATATTGCCAGAGGCTCCTTGGACCTTTCAAACCCACCAGGATGAGGCAAGAAGCCAAGAGGGTTCCTCCCAGACAGTATAGAATGAATATCTTGAACCCAGCTCCTCAGACTGAACAGTGTGTTCCTGCCTGTCCTGAAAACCTGCGGTTTCTCAGCTGCTAGGCTTTGAAAGCTGTCTCTCCATACAAAAGGCATTCCAATGGAGCAGAGCTTGTTTCTTGGTAATCGAAGGCCACGTCTGCTTCAGGTCTGGCTACTTACATTCTGTGTTCTGCTTTGCCTCAGGGCTGGAGGTAAGTATTGCCTCCACCCCCCATCCCAGAAGATTTAAAAGAAGAATAAGCCACTGTTTTAGATAGGTTGAATCTATTAGTAGCAGGAGAGATATACTTTGGGGTGGTAGGGAGGAAATGCCTTCTGCCAAGAGTTTGCAAATCCTTGCGATGGGGTGAGCTTAGAGCTCATTTCAGGACAGAGTTACGCTTCCATTGAGCGAGGAAGCTGCTTTTCTTCTGGGAGCGCCATCTTTGGGAAAAAGTTGATTCTGTTGTCTGGGTGGAATGTGTTGATAGACTAAGTGCCCAGGAGCATGCTATGAATCTGCATATAGTTTCCCCATCTGCAGAGGTGTAAATTTAGTCAGACTTTCTGAGGGGGAAAGAACCCTACCTCTCTAGGATCTATTCTGACAGCTATGTGTGCCCACAGGATTTTATGAGTTGGGACATTGAATCAATTGGTCCCTCCACAATTGAAAAAAAGGGGTTTCGCTTGGCACTATGCTTTTCAGTATATACAGGAAAGAAAATAAATATAAATGAGGAAGTGGTAGGATTCCCAGGACTTCAGTCACCTTGTCTACCTCCTAATGAAGCCCCAGATTTGGTGACCAATGTATGAAGGTGATGCTTTCGGGAAGAAACAATAGAATAAATTTTTGTGCCTCCTACAACAGATGCTGTGAAATGCAGACTATGCAGGTCATTTCGTTCTGGCATGCCATGTGTACCAAATGGTGTCACATGTGACGGGTCATTCTGTGTAATGGCAGAAAGAGTTAAAGGTAAGGCATCTTTTCTATGTTCCTCTTTTTCTATGCTGCAATGAGCACTTGTCTCTTCTATGCTCTGGTAACCTCTTCATTTCTCTGATGAAAATGGGAATATCCCATTCCACAATGGCAATTATACTATTTATACCGCACACAGCTTACTGGGTTGCCCCAGCCACTCTGGGCAGCTTCTGACATGCATAAAAACATAATAAAACATTAAACGTTTTTGAAAAAACTTCCCTATACAGGATTGCCTTCAGACGGCTCGGGAGTCCTCCTTACCCTCCAACATTTATCTGATGAAAATAGGGACATCCTAAGAAAAGCGGGACATTCCAGAATCAAATCAGAAACCAGCTTCTCAAAGTCAGGGACGTCCCTGCAAAATAGGGATACTTGGAGGGTCTGCTAGGTTAGACTACTGCAGTGCATTACACGTGGTGCTGCCTTTGAAGACAGTTAGGAAAATGCAGCTGGTCCAGAATTCAGTGTGGGGATGTTTAGGATAGTTGGCAAGGAAATATTTCTTAAGTGTTATCCTTCCTTCACTCCCACTAGTGAGTGATGTAGCAGAGCAAATCCCCTTCTGTACTCATGGAAGCTAGTTGATAGATTCCTTTGAATCTCCACAAAATGACTAATCCACTCTGGCTTGCCCAGATGGATTATTTCTGGTGTCTCCTTTTCTCCCTCCTAAAATATAATAAAGACTCACAAGTCTGTCTTTAAAAGTATAACAATAAGTTTACTCACAAGTTGTTCACAGTACACATCCTGGAAGGCAGGCTTTAAGCTTCAGGTTACAAACATACAATGTGGCTTACATCCTTTGTGAGGATGGGCCCAAGTGCTGCTAGCTGAGAGCCAGCAGCCAACAAAATGGAGGGGACTGAATTGAACAGAGCTGAGACAAAATGGCTGCGTGACTCTGCTTTTATAGAGTCACACTCATTTGCTGAGTCACTTATGGGGGAACACACATCCCACATTCAGCTGTCAGACTACTCACCGGGGCAAGACAGTTTGAGCATATAACACCAATCCTGGCCTAATTACACCAACAGCCAATCAGTTTTTGGACCCAATTCGAAGCGCTGGTTTTAACCTATAAAACCATACATGGCTCAGGACCTCAAGGAGGGCCACTCCCATATGTATTGACCTCCTGGACCCTGCAGTCATCATCTGAGGCCCTTCTCTATGTGCTTTCTATGCAGGAAGTAATACAAAAATGATCCTTTTCTGCAGTGGCTTCCCATTTGTGGAATGCTCTCGCCAGAGAGGCTCTCCTGGCACCATCATTATATAACTTTAGATGCCAAGCAAAAACATTCCACTCCTCCCAGACCTTTGGCTAATTAAACAGTCTATGGCCTTTCATAATGTGTGTGTGTGTGGGGAGGTTCTTTGTTTTCATTTGTTATTATGGTATGTATGTTTGTGTTTTTATATTGTAAGGCACCCAGTGATCTTTGGACGGAAGTTGGTATAGAGAGTTAATAAAGAATAAGAATAACCTTGAGCAGATCAGGATGTATGCTTAATAAATGGAAGAGCCCAAAGTTTTGCTAGTGCATAATAAAATTACTGTGCATAATAAATTTACTACAGCAGTTATGATTTTCTGGTCAGGCTCTAAGTTCTCTTGGTAATGTAAGGAGTAACATCTTCCTAAAAATCACTGCAACCCCGCCTCCCCACCCACAAGGCCTGGGTTGCTGTGCGTTAGAGTAACCTGGTGGACAAGCAGCGGCAAGGACAGGTCCATCTGCTTCATCCAACCAAGTCTCTGTTACACATGCTGAGGCATCTGATCAAAATCTGCTTTGAGCTTAAAAAATTATATTTGTAAATATATTTTTCTCTCATGCCAGGGAAAGACCAGCTGAATACTCTGGCAGCTGTTCAAGGGCCCCACTGCTATAAATAGCAGTATTTCAGGGTTGTAAAAAGTATTTCAGGGTTGTAAAAGGAAATTACAGGCTGAGAGCAAAAAGGTCACACTGACCAGAATACAATCAAGCTGCAAAAACACAATTAAGAGCTGGTAAATAGTGAAATTTATTGTTTAACAGAAGACTCGAGCCATAAGGTTAAAGGTTAAATTGAAGAGGTTGCTTTTAGAAACAGCTGGTTAGGGAAAAAGGCTTCTCTCCAAACTGTTTTGAAGCTTCAGAGAATTTAGAGAACTTAAGAGAACTTAGCTTTTACTAAATTCCTTTAATTTGAAAAGGCCTTTCCTTCTAAAAATCTATCTATGTTATGTATGAAATATATTGGCTTAAATGTAATTATGCAAAGGATTTAGAAAGTAAGAAATGTTAGATTCTTATGTTAGATTCCTATTATGGTGGGTGAGAAGGTGAACTCAAGATCTCTTTAAGATAAAAAAATTAAAAACCATGCACCATCTGCTTTAGCCATCTGGTTTGCAGGGAATAGGGCAACAGGGGCCAAAGGTTATCTGGTAATTGAGGTGCCTGGTCGAGGTAAATGTAAGATATATGGCTACTTGTCTGCCATTTATGGATACAAGGAAATATAGCTCTTTGTCTCCCATAAAAGGAAATAGGAAATGGGTGTATCTTTTATGATTGGTTCTAGCAAACAACCAATAGGAATTTCAACCAGGCTGATTGGATAGAGGCAGCCAAAGGAGGAGCAAGGGGGCTGGGCTGAGGAAATATAAGTGCTGGCCATCAGGGCTGGAGTAGGCAGAGCTTTGGTATCCATATACCACTGTGTCTCTCATTTATTTGTCTGACAAATAAATTATTATTTTAATTTCTCTATTGCTGCGTTGAATATTTCATTCCAGCTAAGCGTTAACCACAAGCAGGGTGCTACAATGCCAGGTTAAGTCCTCCATCCAGTCATGGATGGCAGTGGTCTTATGAATCATTGACCTGGCATTGCATAGCAGCACCTTCAGGTCATGTGGGTATCCCTTGCTGATTCCAGTATCCGTCTGGACATGGAGGCAGGGATAGTCCTCAAACAACGACTAAACCTGCCTCCTCGGTAATGACATGGTCTGGTCTTAGCATAACTCCTCCTCCTGCCCATGATCACTGAGATCGGTTGTCCCAGTGCATCCCCCCCCCCCCCGGAACCTGCCCCAGCCATTTTGTTGGCTGGGACCCACTCCCAGGCAGCCCTGACCCCTCCCACTAAGAAGCAAATAAAACTTAATTAAAAAACAACACAAAAACCAATACAAACCAAAAACAGTAAAAATTACAAACATACCAAAATTAAACATTCCGAAACCCGACTAAACATCCATCCCACCCCCCACACACCAAAAATAATTTTAAAAGGTAAAAACAGAATTTTTAAAAAACATTTTTAAAAGAACTCTGTGCTGTTCTGAGTTCTCCTGGGCAACAACAGCAGCAGCGGCAACAGTCCCTATGAGGCCTGTCAGGCCCCGCCTAGGCCAGGTGGTGAGTGGCAGGGACAGAACCTGCAGGCACTCACAGCAGGGGAGTCCTCTGAAAAACACCAGACATTTCCAATGAAAATGGAGTATTAGAAGCATTTCCCCAACTCCATTTTGAACATGTGGATTCAATTGTGCAGGTGGGGAGATTCATGGACATATCAATGCAAGACAGACTGTGCAACAGTCTTCCAGCAGTACTGGAAGAGCTGCTTCATTAGAGTCTTGAATGCCAGCTATATTCTTATATTAAACCACATTACATACAGGGACCTTGCTCAAGAAGATGAAATGTTGGAGAAGGGCAGGAAAGTAAGGTTTCTGCTTCAAGGAACTAACTGGCATGTCACTTGGAAAGTAGCCTATTTTTCAGTCTGAAGGAAAGGTATTTCGGATTTATCCTTGAAAACAGCGGTGGAGTTTCTGAGATTTGAGGGTTTGTTTTATTTAGACATGTATTTTGCACATGTTTTAACATTATTTTATTTTAATGTTGACACTTTAGTAGTTTTAGCATGGGAAAAATCAGTTTTAGGTATGCATTTGTCAATGGAGCTTAAAATGGAATTTATTTCAATGTGCTGTGAGCTTTGTCTGTTCTTTTGGTATGAACTATGGACTCGACTTACTAGTTAGTATCAACATAAGCACTTCTCTTTCTCTCGCCAGATCCAAGAAATAAGTTGCAGATCAAATTTTGTGGCGAAGGTCATTATGAAAAATTCTGCGGACTAGAAGAGACAACAGAAGATAAAGTTAAAATACAATGCTGTGATACTGACATGTGTTTTGACTGATTTTACTGTTCTATTCTTATATTGTTTTAACCCATCCAGAAACCTCATGGTAAAGGGTGGGCAGCCAATCTTTCTCCTTCTCTTTCACTTTCTCCTTTGAAAGACATAATATTAGAACATTTCATACCCTTTGCTTTTGACGGATGTCTGGTCTTCCTCCTGCCATTACAATTCAAATGACAGAGCAAACACAGAAAAGCAACAAACCCCAATTGTCACAACTTTGGTGGTTTAGGCATTGGGTAAGCCTAGCCTTGGCTGGAGGGGGTTGTCCCCTGGCCTTCCACTCGAGAAATAGGGTATGCTGTTAAAGGGGTCCACGATGGAGTTGCGTCTGTCCATTTGCCCAGATGGGGGGGAAGGGCTCGGGCCTCAGCGTTCCTAGGGGTGGGGATCCCTGCAGGGATCCCCCTATTTGATGTAAGTCATGGGACTCCCCACTGCCGGGTTGACCCTGATGTCATTTCCGGTAGGTAGACCGGAAATAAATGCTTACCCAATGCTTGTAAAAGAAGTGATGAAAAGATGGAATTGTTTTTAACTGTTTTTTCTTCTTTGTATTTTGTATTTTTCTTTTTTATTGTTAATTTTCTCATTAATGTGATTTTTCTTTTCTTTTGAAATTTTAATAAATATCATCTAAAAAAAAAAAAATGCTTACCCAATGCCTATAGCCAAACCACTTCATCTGTAGTCAATACAGTTGTGGCCTGATTTGATCTCATTCCACTGTGTGGCCTCCTTTATTGGTAGCTCACTTGAGCGGAGGAAGGGTGCACACCCTGGGCCTGTAGACTCTGGGAAGCTTCCAAGAGAATATAAAAATATATAAAACCATCCGGCATTGAAAACTTCTCGATACAGGACTGCCTTCAAATGTCTCAAGGTCAGTCCTTAATTGCCTTGTTAGAGTATCCCATCCCATACTCACAGTCAAGATGGTTAGGGAGGAGGCTGGAGCCCCTTCCATCCAGACTCTCCTAGGTCATTGTCCATCAGATTCTCAATTCATCTCTTCCTGGAGCTCATGGAACCCTGTTCTTCCAAACCCCTCCTTGGTTGGAGAGCTCAAATGTTTTCTGTTCTCTTTCTTGAACATTGCAATGTAACTGGAATGTAGCAAAGCTTTTAAGTAGTTTGGACTGGTGGGAGTTCTAGGTGGCCAATCGAGATAGAGTTCAATAATGATAGTTAAAATTACTGCTAGTTTTGCATGCAGAAATAATGTGAGAATAAAAGCTTGTAATAATTGTTTTACCTTACATATCAATGCTTTCTTTCATTAAAGTTTAAAAGTGAAGTTGTAGTCTGTATTTTATTTTGGTTCCTGTGTAATTATTGTACCTTGATCACACAAGAAATTGCTGTGCAGTGGTACCTTGGTTCTCAAAATCTACCCGCTCTGAAAGTCCATTCCAAAACCAAAGCATTCCAAAACCAAGGTGTGCTTTTCCATAGAAAGTAATGCAAAAGGGACCTCCAAGATTTTATTGTTTGCAGACCATAAGGTCATCTGCGGGGCATACCAGGAGAGGCAGTCCCATAGGTACGAGTGTCCCAGGTCATATAGGGCTTTAAAGGTTAGAACCAGCACCTTAAACTTAACCCTGTACTCCACTGGGAGACAGTGCAGCTGATATAGCACTGGTTGGATGTAGTCCCATGGTGAAGACCCTATAAGTAGTCTTGCCGCAGCATTCTGCACCCGCTGGAGTTTCTGGGTCACCTTCATGGGAAGCCCTGCATAGAGTCAGTTACAGTAATCAATCCTGGTGGTGACCATTGCATGGATCATAGTGGCTAGATCAGGGTGAGAAATGAAACGGTGAAATCTGCTATAATTAAATGGGCACAAGATGTTGGACATAACATAATGATGGCTGACTGGGAACAGTTACGGACCACAGGTATGAAGTTTACGGCATGTAATGCCTTAAGAGAGAATATTATGAAAATGATATACAGGTGGTACATGACACCAGTCAAGCTTGCAAAAATCTATCATTTGCCCAATAATAAATGCTGGAAATGTAAAGAAACTGAAGGTACATTCTTTCACCTTTGGTGGACGTGCCCAAGGATTAAGGCTTTCTGGGAGATGATTTATAATGAAATGAAAAAGGTATTTAAATATACCTTTCTGAAGAAACCAGAGGCCTTTCTCCTCGGCATGGTTGGCCAATTGGTGTTAAAGAAGGATAGAACTTTCTTTATGTATGCTACAACAGCAGCAAGAATACTTATTGCAAAGTATTGGAAGACACAAGATTTACCCACTCTGGAAGAATGGCAGATGAAGGTGATGGACTATATGGAAATGGCGGAAATGACCGGCAGAATCCGAGACCAGGGAGAAGAGTCGGTGGAAGAAGATTGGAAGAAATTTAAAGACTATCTACAGAAATACTGCAAAATTAATGAATGTTAGAATGATGTTGGATTGAAGTTAAGTGGTTTTTAGCAGCAATGTTATAAAGGAATATGTAAAAATGGATTGTTAACAGGTGATAATCTAAAGTTATAATATATTAAGATAAAAGATTAAGATAAAATCAAAGAGGGAAAGGATTTGCTGAATTAACTAATTGAACTGGAATACAAAAAAGGGAGGTGTGAGGAGGTCAGGGAAACAAGCAAATGAAAGATAAGATATGGAAAGACTGATCTGTTTTTAACTGTTTTTACTTTGTATTTTCATTTTCTCTTTTTTTCTTTTTCTCTTTTTTCTTATTTTTGTAATATGTTGAAACTTTAATAAATATCTTTAAAAAAAATAGATCAGGGTGAGAAAGATAAGGAACCAACTGCTTGACACGGCGGAGATGGAAAAATGCTGCCTTTACTGTAGCTGTAAGCTGCGCCTCCATAGAGAGGGAGGCGTCGAGGGTTACACCCAGAGTCTTGACAGAAGGTGCTGGCACTAATTGCTCCCCTGCAAGGGATAGGAGTTTACCCCCCAACCCCATGTCATCTCAACCCAACCAGAAGACCTCTGTCTTTAAAGGATTTAGCTTCAACCGGCTCCCATGCAACCATCCAGCCACAGTTTCCAAACATCTGGTCAGTGTATCTAGGGCTGAATCAGGATGGCCATCCATCAACAGATAAAGTTGGTGTCATCAGCATATTGATGACAACCCAGCCCGAAGCTCCGAACAAGCTAGGCAAGAGGGTGCATAAAGATGTTAAAGAGCATTGGGGAGAGGATTGCGCCCTGTGGCACTCCACACGCCAAGGGGTACCACGACGACAACCCCTCCCCTAGCACCACCCTCTGTCCCTGACCTGAAAGGAAATAGTGCAGCCATTGTAAGACTGTGCCTTGAATCCCCACGTCTGCAAGGCGATGGTCCAATAGTTCATGGTCAACCATGTCAAAGGCTGCTGACAGATCTAGAAGAAACAGCAGCCCAGACCCACCTCAGTCCAGCTGCCTACAGAGATCATCTGTTAGGGCGACCAGGGCCACCTCGGTCCCATGTCCAGGGTGAAAGCCAGACTGGAATGGATCCAAGGCCAATGTTTCACCCAGAAACCTATCAAGCTGTTCAGCAGCCACTCTCTCAATTACCTTACCCAGGTACGAGAGGTTCGAAACCGGGCGGTAATTGGATAGATCTGGAGGATCTGATGATGTTTTCTTTAAGAGCAGATGCACCACTGCCTCCTTCAACTCCCCTGGGAATGTCCCTGTGCCAAGGGACAAATTGATGATATCACCCCGGGGGACCCGCACCTTGTTCGGGCACACTCTAATCAGCCAGGACGGGCACAGGTCAAGGGGGCAAGCGGTGGGCTTTCCAGCTTGGAGTAGTCTGTCCACATCGGCCGGGAGTATCTGGTTGAAGTGGTCCAGTGCAGGACCCAAAGACCATCGAGGTGCCTCCAGTTCTGTTGCTGTATCCAAATTGGCAGGGAGGTCACGGTGGAGTAGCAAGACTTTATCCGAGCTCGCAAATGTCTCACAGCTATGAATCAAATTCGTATTTAAATTTGGTTGTTCCTCTGGGGACGTTAAAGACCTAATTATACTAAAAGTTGTGCCGGGTGAGAGCTAGCGGATGCGATGGAAGCTGAGAAGTAAAACTTCTTAGCAGCTTTCACAGCCATCTCATAGACTTTCATAAGCGTCCTATAAGATGTTCTTGAGGCTCCATCACGAGCACGCCACCATATTCACTGTAGCCATCTAAGGTCTCTCTTCATTTTCCAGAGCTCCTCGGTAAACCAAGGGACCCTGTTTCAGTGGGGTCGCAGAGGGCGCCTAGGTGCGATCTCATTGATGGCTGCCAAGAGCCAGTTATTCCAACCCTCAACGAGCTCATCTAATGAGCCGCTAGGGGGAGCAGGGTCCCGCAAGTCCTGACGGAATCCATCAGGATCTATCAGCCTTCGCGGGTAAGCCCAAATAGGCTTGCCACCCAGGCAGGGGTGGGTGGGAAGTCAATCCTAGCTTTCAGAGCGTAGTGATTGGACCATGGCACCACCACAGGGTCTGATCATGTCTATACCTGCGCCAAAGATCAAGTCCAGCGTGTACTATCCAGAGTCCCTATCCAGAGACTATCTAGAGCATGTATTATCCACCACGTGCTATCCAACGTGATCAACTCCTGCCCGGAAACCAGTATCCCCACTGTGGAAGTACGTGTGGGTCCAGAATTGGTCTCCACAATCACTTACGGACTCATTGTTAAAACCGTGTTTATGGAAGACAGTCTTACTCGGCTACAAGTGATCACCAAAGAAGAAGAAAGAAGATCCAGCGTGTACTATCCAGAGACTGTGAATCTGTTAACTCTCTCTTTTCTAGTGTTTCTTCTGCTAGCTATTCCCCATCCAGTATTTCCCTGCCTTCTGAACTATGTCCCTCTGCAAACCACTGTTCCAAATCTATACTGAAGGAATGGGTTTCTGTGCAGTCAGTTTGAAACTGACCCAAAATCCGCATTTTTCCT